GCAGCTCAGTGAGGCTGGGCGGGGTCAGCGAGCTGGGTAAGAAGACTGATGTAGAACCTCTAGGTTAGTTAGTATGTTATAGACAAAGCTAGTTGACCAGAGAAGATGTTGAAATCTTAGAGGTGGTGATGGAGAAATCAGCTTTTTTTTCTTTTGAGATTTTATTTTATGTGTATGAGGTCTGCATACCACATGCATGCAGTGCCCTTAAAAGCCAGAAAAGGGTGGCAGAGCCACCAGAGACTAGAATTACAGACAATTGTGAACTGACTTGTGGGTTCTAGGAGTTGAACCCTGCTCCTCCAGAAGAGCACCTCTGAGCCATCTCTCCAGCCCCAAAAAATAGTTACTGATGTTGTCTGTTGGGTGTTGTTTCCTAAGTATGAACTTACATAGATACCACCACCAAAACTCCAGGTCTTTCCATTTCATCCTGAGCCCTGGCTATAGCCTCTTTTACAAGATCTTTTTTTTTTTCTTTTTTTTTTTTTTTTGGTTTTTCTTTTTCGAGACAGGGTTTCTCTGTAGCTTTGCACCTTTCCTGGAACTCGCTTTGGAGACCAGGCTGGCCTCGAACTCACAGAGATCCGCCTGCCTCTGCCTCCCGAGTGCTGTCATTAAAGGCGTGTGCCACCAACCGCCCGGCGATCTTTTATTTCTTAAGGACACCTTGAGAGAAAGCACAACTACTGTAGAAGTGTATTGCAATGTCTGAGCAAAGAATCACTTTGAAAGGCAGTCATATTTGGAGGTAGAGATAGGATCAGGAGTTCAAGATTCTACTCGGGCTACATACAGTGAGTTTGGAATCAGCCTGGGATATATGAGACACAGTCTAAAGGAAAAAAGTCAAGGTTTTTAAATTATATGAGATATGGCTGAAACTACATAGTGTGCCTCAGTTATTTTTCAACTTTGACTTTTTTTTTTTCTGACAAAGCTAATTGAATATACTCTCATGGCAATGCAAATACTGAATTTGGGGCAGGGGTTCACTTAGATGACCTCTAGATCTCTCTTGCTCCATGTGATGGCACATACCTGTTATTCCAGTACTTGAGAGATGAGGCCAGGAGAGGCTTGAGTTCAAGGTCATCTTCAGAGAATGTAGAGTCAACTTGGGCTGCATGAGACCCTATCAAAAAACAAAACCAAACAAAACAAAAGGGGGGATTAAATTAGATTGAGTACCTTAGCAAGTACTTTATATGACATCTCAAACAAAAAGTATAAACTTCCAGGCTTTTTAAAGCATAAAATCACAATTAGAGAAAAATACTTTTTTATAGGTTCACAGTTAGAAAAAATACTCAGCTCTCCATATCCCCAAAACTGGCCATGGTCAGCAACTCTTATGGAGCTAATTCAAGGACTATGTAGAAGTTAGCTTCCCTGGATTTCCTTTGGACTTATTCTACTTGAAGCTTCCATTTTAAAGGAATAAATTATGTCTATATAGTAGTATGTTGGCATCTCACAGAGCTGAGTAGTAAGACAAGTGTTTGTCTTGTCTTAGATTTAGCATGTTCTCTACCCACTATATTTGACCTTAAGTGGGTAAGGCTGAGATGCAGTGTATAATGATGGACCAGGTTTACCAGGCCTTGCTCCAACATCCTCGTTTTAGGGAAGTGTAAGAAAAGTATGCAGTTTGTCCTTCCTGATGATTACTTGGAGTGATCATGTAAGATTTTGCATTGCAACTATGCTGAGTGTTAGTGAACAGAAGCAACCGTTAAGATACAGGAAGAGAAGGGTAGTTGGCATCAGATTTGTGTGAATTGAAAACTGACAAGTCTTGAAATTTTAACAAAGATTGTATAACTATATAAACAAGCCCTTTTATTTTATTAGTGTTTTATATCTCAAAATTGCAGTGTAAGTCTTATATCTGGGTCTTAAGAGACTTGGTTCTATTTTAAGGCACCCCCCACCCCACCCCCACTCCCGCCATGTCCATTTATGGATATTTTACCATGGAAATCCAATTGCTCTGAGGCATTCTTTCATTATTTTGCTTGAAATATGTGCATCAGAATAGAACCAGCTAAGCTGGTTGGATCATGTTTGTGGTATTAGTGTTCCATGTAGGCTATAAACACAGTTCCTGCCGAATTCTTACCTTGAGTTCCTTGGCCCAGAAGCTGACTTACCTCCTGTCCTCAGGGAGGATCTCTTAGAGTAAAGGCAGTTGCATTCAGACAATCCCCACTTCAAGCAGTTAATTTGGGTAAATTCATTGACATCAGTATTTACAAACTAAATTCTCTCAACTCCGTATGTAGCTGAGCTTTCCTATTTGTATTTTGTTTTTGTTTGAAAATGAAACTAAATTGGATTTTATGTAGCCTGAGGTTAGGCTCGATCCTCCTACCTTTGCTTCCTCGTGTGCTAGGATTACAAATTCAGGACACCACCCTTGACATTTGTTTTCTTTCACAGCTTTAGCATCTCTTCATCTGTGGACACATGTGTATTGTCCTATTTCGAGAACACACATCTCTTGGTCTGTTCTCCAGTCAGTTGTCTTGTGTCTTACAGGCAGTACTTTTTTCCTGTCAGAAGGGCTTGATTGGAGCGAGGCGTTGGTGGTACTCACCTTTAATCCCAGCACTCAGGAGACAGAGGCAGGCGGATCTCTGAGTTTGAGGCTAGCCTGGTCTAGAGAGTGAGTTCCAGGACAGCCAGGGCTACACAGTCTTGGGGTCAGCTAAAAAAAAAATAGAATTGATGGGAATGCTTGTGAATTCACATGGGTATATGACCATAGTTCCATGTCACTGAAAGCTCACAGTGGAAAATCTGGAAAGGTCTTAGTTTTTGAAATGTAGAATTGGACTAGTTTAATAGGGTTTGAAACTAGGCACTCTGGAAAACAGCAGCAGGTATATATAATACAGTGTAGGCAAGGCTGGGTATCTTGACTGGAAAGGATCATAGAGTCACAGCTGCTGTATGTGTTTGATTCCCTCCCTCCCAAACCAGAATTTCCAGGGCTGGGGTTACTTAGATTTGCACATACACACACTGCCGTGATTCTTGTGTGGCTAGGTGAGCCATAGAGAGTCACTGATACAGTCAGAATGAATGATTATATTGAATAGTGGCCACCGAGAAACGATGATTTTGGCCTCATTAATGGACAGGAAAAGTGTCTCTCAAAGTATCAGAGCCCTTGTGTAGCAATAAAAAAAAAAAAGAACCTTACCTTTAATCCCAGCACTCGGGAGGCAGAGGCAGGCAAATCTCTGTGAGTTCAAGGCCAGCCTGGTCTACAGAGTGAGTTCCAGGACAGGCTACAAAGGTACACAGAGAAACCCTGTCTCAAAAAACAAAAAAATGAAAAGCTTAATTAAAATAGCTCATCAATACACTGAAAGAATAATAAACCATCATGAAAAGGAATGTCAGCATTGGGAATTTTTTCCTGCTTTGTCACACGACCGAATTATAGCCTTGTCTTTCTTTATAGCTCTCACCCCTCCTTTCTGGCAGATATCTTGGGTTCTTCGTGGTAATCCAGGAATGAAATTCATGGACAGCATAACTCGGTCTCATAGTTTAATAGGGTCAGTAACACTTTGTGACATACATAGACTTTTGTCCCTGTGACTTCAGCCTTCTGTGCTCTCCTTGCTGTGTGACTTTGAAGAAATTGGAGGATTGGTCTTCAGAGTATCTCATAAACCAGTTGAGAAGGAAAAAGACATTCGCAGATACTCTGGAAGCAGTGTATTAGCCAATAACCGGGGGAAGTGTACTTGGCTGTTCATGCATAATACACTGGAATTGCAGATGGACAATTAGAGGTAAAGTCTTGAAAAGCATTTAAAGAAAAAGATAACAGCTGGAGAGATGGCTCAGCAGTTAAGAGAACTGGATGCTCTTCCAGAGGACTGGGTTTGATTCCCAGCACCCATGAGGTAGCTCACAGCCGTCTGTGACTCTAGTTCTAGGGGATCCAATGCTCTTTTCTAGTCACTGTGGGTACCTGACATAAAAGTGGTGTGTAGATAATACATTCAGGCAGAGCACTCATACGTATTTTTTAATTAATAAAAAAAAAAATAAAGCATTTCTTAAAAGATTTTTTTTTCAAGACATAATTTCTCTGTATAGCCCAGGCTGGCCTGGAACTCACTCTGAAGACCAGACTGACTTGGAAATCAGAGAGCCTCCAGCCTCTGCTTCCCAAGTGCTAGGATTAAAGGTGCCACTATGCCCAGTAGGGTGCCACCTCTTTTTGACTATTAAGAAATATGGGCTGAGTATGGTTGCACATAACTTTAATCCCAGCACTTGGGAGGCAGAGGCAGGTGGATTTCTGAGTTTAAGGCCAGGCTGGACTACAAATCAAGTTACAGGCCAGCCATCACTACACAGTGAGACCCTTTCTTTAAAAAAAAAAAATAAAAAAAGGAGGAGGAGGAGGAGGAAAGAAAGAAAGATTGAATCAACTATGGGGGCGGAGATACAGCTCAATGGTAGAGTGCTTACCTAACTTGTGCAAGGCTCTGGGTTTCATCCCCAGAGACACACAAAGATACCTCCTGTTACCAGGGTCTTACCTTATCAGCATCTGCTTACCCAGTGTCTGGATTTCTCGGCCTTTGATCTTACACTGCCCCCTACTTGAGCTTTTAGCAGGTTCACTGCTAAGGAATAGCTCTCTGACAGAGCAGTAGAAATAGCCTGAAATTCAAACTAGGCCTGCCTGCGTGATGGTAGGAGCATTAATGAAAAGGTTCGTGGAGCTGGTTGATGACGGTGTTTTGGGGAGTAATCTGTGGGATGTGTTACCCGTGCTGTTTCTGTGTTTTCCATCAAAGAAGCTGGTTATGTGCCCTTTGGAAAAATAGATAAAATGGAAGAGAATAGTAGGCCCAGAATTAGGGAACTCAGACTTGTGTCCTCACTGGGTCACTTTAGTATCCATCTTTCCAGCTGTGTGATACCTCTGCCATCCCTTACAGTCTGCTTCCTGTGTTTCTTCTCCACAGGTCATGAAACGAGTGCGCACGGAGCAGGTTCAGGTGGCAGTGTCCTGCTACCTCAAACGTCGGCAGTACGTGGACTCAGAAGGCCCCTTGAAGCAAGGCCTGAGACTATCACAGACCCCTGAGGAGATGGCAGCCAACCTCACAGGTACCAGGATCCTGTGACTAGCCTGGAACAGGATCTGTCAGTGTCCAAATAGGTTCTTAGCAAAAGGGTAGGCTACCCCGCCTCAGTGAGCAGCTCTTTGGGTCTCTGGCCTCTAGGCCTTTCCTGTCCCTCCAAGCTGTGTTCACTGGACTTCTGAGCCTTTTGGACCCCTGGCTAGAGCCCTATTTCCTTCCTCAGCATCCAGATTGTTTTATGTGTACCTGACAGTATGTGCGACTTTTCTTTACCTTACAAGACCCTGAGTAATAGGTTCTCTCTTCTAGCATAGAACCTTGCTCGTCGAAGTCAGGTCTATAAGGTGGTTGCATACTGTAGGATTAATGGTTAGAAATACTGGTATCATAAGTACTTCTAAAATTTTTAAATTTTGTTTTGGGGCTGGAGAGATGGCTCAGAGGTTAAGAGCACTGACTGTTCTTCCAAAGGTCCTGAGTTCAATTCCCAGCAACCACATAGTGACTCACAACCATCTGTAATAAGATCTGGTGCCCTCTTCTGGCCTGCATACATGCTGTATACATAATAAATAAATAAATCTTAAAAGAAAAAAATTTGTTTTGAAATCAGTATTTCAAAACTGGACATAATGGCTCAGACCTTTAATCCAAGCACTTAGGAGGCCAAAATGGGAGGGTTGCCATAAGTTTAGGACCAGTTTGGGCTACAGAGTGAAGTCCAGGCTAGACTAGGCTACAGAGTGGGACTATCTTAAACAGCCATAGGGGAATTTTTAAAAGGAAGGAAGGGTGACTCCGTTGGGAATATCAAATCATTGTTACCATACGCAAAAGTTATCACTTAGCTGTTTTATGAGTTCAGGGTTTATGTAATACAGTTTTTCTGTCCTTCCATCTCTGGTTTTTATGAAATGGGTTCTCACAAGGCCTAATCTGACCTTGAACTCTCAGCAAGCCTCAGCCTCAGGTATATGCCACTATGCCTAGCTGAATTTCTAATACTGGTGATTCGATGTGTTTCACTAAATTGGATGACTGTGAAGGACACACTAATGACTGTGTGGTGTGGAGTTCTCATTGTTTGCATGACCCAGCTCTGTCTCTCCTTCACATACCCAAAGTGACTTCTTCTCCCCTCTTTGTTCCTGGACTTCTGCTTTCCTGGAACATATTGCCACTGCTCCATCCTAGCAGCAGTAGATTCCTTGGTTCCTTTTCACAGCACTCTCAGTCAGTGGCCTGTTTTGCTTTAGGGTAGACTGCCTTTGCTATGGAGAAAGTGATGGAATGTTCGGAACCTGAGGAGGTTTTTGAAATGAGAGTCTTGGCTTCATGGAAGGATAACAGAAGCTGTCAGAAATCTACCTCCATGTTCCTTTAAGGGATACCTGGCTGTTCTCTATTTCAGCTCCTCAGGGATACCCTGATGAGCAGTTATCTCCCTATCTCTAGTAGAGGGCTCATAGCTCCTATTGCTGTGCATCCATGGGACCCTGGGCAATAACTCTGTGTTTGTGGGAAAACAAGAGAGTACTACTGATGGATCTCCAGACATCACTCTGCAGTTTAGATGCAGTGGCTTTTCCAGAGGCCAGCAGGAACAGAGAGAAGTTGAAGTGGGCTGATTGTGCTATTGAATCCTGGATTTTCTGATTCATGAATGATCTGAATCATTGGACTGTGCTCTGGCAGGTTTTCATTGCACATCTGCTTTAGGCAGATGATAACAACACTAGAACTTGCTAAGATTCCAGCTGCTGGGAATACATGCTACAGTACAGCTGTAGAAAACCATGGTGTGCTGAACTTTGACAGGGATGCCTTACGGTCAGGGGGTAGAAAAAAAATGGTCATTTGCACTAGGTTGGCAGGGCAAGTAAGTCTTGCCAAAGGCCTGGTACTCCCTTGTGGTTAGGAGTTTTTCGTCTTTTTTGGGGGGGCGCCACCCAACTCCCAAATAAATCACACATGGAGGCTTATTCTTAATTATGAATGCCTGGCCTTAGCTTGGCTTAGTTTCTAGCCAGCTTTCCTTATCTTAACTTATCCCATCTACCTTTTGCCTCTGAGCTTCTCCTGTTCTCTTACTTCTGTAAATCTTACTCTTACTCCGTGGCTTGCTGGTTTTGTAGCTGGGTGACTGGCCCCTAATGTCTTCCCTTCTCTCACTCCTAGCTCTGTGCTCTCCCCCCCCCACCCAGTTTTCTCCTTCTGTATATACTCTCTGCCTGCCAGTCCCTCCTATCCTTTCTCCTGCCTTGCTATTGGCCAGTTCTTTATTAAACCAACAGGTGTTTTATATAGGCCCAGTAACACAGCGTCACAGAGTTAAACAAATGCAATATGAACAAAACTAACACACCTTAAAGTAATATTCTACTACACTCCCTAGCTTATGGTCAGGTTGGCCAGTAGCAGAAGGAATGAGCTGTTTTCTGAGGAATTACAAGGAACACTCCACTGTCAAGTTAAAGGAGAACCTGAGAAATCTGGAGATAGATTTCAGGACAGTGACTGGGCGCTAAGTCTAGTCCAAGTTAGATTAGATATACCTACCATTCAAGAACCAGCATAGTCAGAGGATAACAGGAATCTGAAGGGTTTTAACTGATGAGGGGGAGGGAGAACACCTGCTGCTCTAGCCATCTGAGTTCTGCTGGCAGGAACTCTTCTTCACACCCCCTTTTCTGTCACCATGTTTGATTCCTTCAGTTCTACTGTGTTCATTACCATTCCTCCATCCACATTCTCGTGGCTAGATACGACATTTTCTTCAGGTCACTATGGAGATGACCCTGGCTTCCAATCTCAAGTTGGTACCACCTAAATGAGTATCTGCTGCAAGGAATTTGAGAGGGCAACCTCCATTTGCAGAGCATCAAGGGTTCTGGACATTGCGTGAAAGTTTGCCTCTAAGTTACAATAGGAATAAAAAACAATATGGTATAGACTCTTCACTGGATAGTGCAGAAAGCTTGAGTTTCTTTTTTAGGAAGCATAATCTCAGGCCAAGTGTGATGGCATACTACTATAATTCCAGCACAAGGAGCAGAAAGATTGAGATTCCCAGTCAGCTGGGACTACATAATGACCTGTATTGTGAATTCTAGTTGGTCTTAATAATAAAAACCTGCTTAATAATAAAAACCCAGAGTCAGCTATTGGGGTAAATGCTGAAAGATCAAAGAAGCAGAGCAGCCAGCCACTAGAAAGACTTCTTACCTCTAGGAATCCTCGGATTGAAAGGGCTGAGCTTCTGTCTCCACCCTACCTTATCACTTCCTCTCTCCATCCAGCCATATCACTTCCTGTTTCCTCTTCTCAAGTGCTAGGATTAAAGGTGTGTGCTGCCACTGCCTGGCCCCTAGTGGCTAGCTCTCCACTTGGATCTCCAAGCAAGATTTATTTGTTAAACCACAAACAAAATATCACCACATTTCCCCTTTTTTGTCTAAAATTTAAAAAAAGGTTATAACTAATATAAGAGAAACTATATAATAAGTACAATAATTATATATAATATATACAGGCAATAAATACATCAATAAAGTCTAGTCCATTAACATTTGACAAATTCATAGAAAATACTCCATTATTTATCCTATCTTGGAGAGTCCAAAAGGTTGTACCTAATTCACTTTGTATTCTAACTTGCATTACTAAAACTATCTTTTAATGTCTCTCAACCTTAGATACTTTATACCTCTTTAATAAATTTCTTTTCTGAATCTGGTAACAAGGAAAACTATAACTGTAAAGTCTTTGACTCCATCAAAGACCCAAGAAGGAAATAATATTACCTGAGTAAGCGGGAAGTGCAAGCAAGCGACTTCCAAAAAAAATGTGAGAAATGACAGAAACAGCTGGCTGCCTGGACAATCACCCAAGGTTCCTCTGTAATGTTGGGGCTTCCCTCTTCGGCCTACAGGTCTAGCGTATCTGACAGACTTTTCTGTGAAGCAGGATATTCTAAAGGGCTGTCCCACCTTGTCTTGGCAAAGTTCTGCTGTCCTTTCTTTTGTGTGGTGTTACAAAGGAATGTGAGCCAAAATAACTCTTTCCTCCTTTGGAAAAAATATAAAAAGGAAAAAAATCAACAAAGGGTTGAAAGTTAGACCAGGCGTGGTGGCACACAGCTTTAATCCCAGCACTTAGGAGGCCGAGGCAGGGGGATGTCTGAGTTTGAGGCCAGCCTGGTCTATAGAGCAAATACTAGGACAGCTAGAGCCGCTACATGGAGAACCTGTCTTTTAAAAAAAGGGGCTGGGGGGATCGAAAGTTAAAGAAACCTTCCTGTTCGTAAAGCAGGAAGATGAAGAGTAGAGAAAAAATAATGATTTTCAGATGATCCAACTTTGAAATTGGGAATCAGAAAATTAGAAGACATGATCAGAAACAAGTGAAGACTGTTTCTCTGAACTGGAAGGCACATACTATTCCTGAGATTTATGTCTAGCCTATGTTGACATGTTACAGTGTGCTATGGCCTGGGTTGGTCGATCTCAACATAGGCTAGACATGTCCAGATAAATCTCAAGAATAGTATGTGCCTATCCTCTCTTCACTTAATTTATCCTATGGTTTCTAGTTTTCCATTCCGCTACGCTAGTTTTGTGGAGTATCAGGAGAGAAGGGAGACAGACAGTGTAACCAGCCTGCCCTCTGTCTATCTTGCTACATGGTAGATAGTAACTGCCTTCCTGCCTCTGTCTTGTGTGTCTTCCTCTTTAGTCCAATCAGAATCTGGTTGTGCCAATGCGGTGTCTGCAGCTCCTTGCCAGGCAGAACCCCAGCAATATGAAGTACAGTTTGGACGACTGAGAAGCTTTCTCACTGGTAAGTCCTTTTTAAGAAACCAAATAATGTAGACATCCCTCAGAACCTCTTGTATTACAAGCATAGTGTTAGGTTCTAGAGAGTCAGGTACTTGTTTGTTTGGTGGTGGTTTGTTTTTTCAAGACAAGTGTTTCTGTATAGTCCTGGCTGTCCTGAAACTTGCTCTGTAGACCAAGCTAGCTTCAAACTCAGAGATCCACCTTCCTCTGCCTCCTAAGTGCTGTGATTAAAGGTGTGCGCCACCACACTTTTAACTAGTTCTTGTATACAAACAGTTTCTGTGAGAGTTAGATCTTGAGGTTGAAGTTTATAAAGATAGAGAGAATTCTGTGTGTCCTATCACTGTTTGTGTGTGGCTTTTGGCTTATGACTTCTGAATAAATGAAAGCAAAATCAGCCATGGAGAAAAGGATCCTTTAAATGAAATGAGTTTGAAATGTACGTCATCTTTCAGAGTAGTGCTCATGAGTTGAGTGAAGAAGTTAACTGTTGTCATTAGGCAGGCCAAAGATAGAATGACCACAGAGACAAAATCAATGAATATATGTTCCATTTGCTGCTTCTTAACACATTAATGTGAGTTTTTAAAAAACAGTCTTTTAAGAAGAGCCATTTAGCTGGGCAGTGGTGGCGCACGCCTTTAATCCCAGCATTCAGGAGGCAGAGGCAGGTGAATCTCTGAGTTCAAGGCCAGCCTGGTCTACAGAGTAAGTTCCAGGACAGGCTCTAAAGCTACACAGAGAAACCCTGTCTTGAGAGAAAAAAAAAAAAAAAGGCGCCATTTAGCCCACTGGTGGTGGCGCATGCCTCTGATCCCAGCACTTGAGAGGCAGACGCAAGCAGATCTCTTGTGAGTTCAAGACCAGCCTGGTCTACAAAACAAGTTCCAGGACAGCCAGAGCTGTTAAACAGAGAAACCCTGTCTCAAAAAGAAAAAGAGCCATTTACCCCATTTAGGAACCTCATTATCCTCGAATATGAGGTGAAGAGGTTTGGACAGCTAAACCAAACTATGTTTTCTGGTCCTGAGATGGCCAATATTAACTTATCCAAGAATGGTGGCACCTTAGTACTTGGAAAGCAGGGACATCAAGGATAGTTCGAGGACATCCTCAAAGCAAATTTGAGGCCAGCCAGTGCTACATGAGACCCTGTGTTAAAACAAACCAGAAAAGGACTAGGGAGATGGCTTATTAGATAAAGGTGATTGACATGAAACCTGACGACCTGAGCTCAATCCCTGAGACCCACATTGGTATCAGGAGAGAACCAACTGCCAGTTGTCTTCTGGCCTCTACACATGTACCCTGATACACACATGCATGCACACACATACAAAACAATTATCATCTTCAAAAACTGTATTAGGGGCTGGAGAGATGGCTCAGGGGTTTAGAGCACTGGCTGCTCTACCAGAGGACCCAGGTTCAGATCCTAGCACCCACAAAGTAGCTAGCAACCATGTGTAACTCCAGTTCCAGGGGGTGCCCTCTTCTGGCCTCTGAAGGCACCAGACACTCACATGGTACCCAGACATACATGCAAGCAAAACTCGCATACACATAAAATTTTAAAAATCATTTTACAAAAATATTTAAAAAAACAAAAACCCAGTGATTAACAAAAATAAATAAATAAATTGGGTGCTGGAGAGATGGCTGGCTCAGCAAGCAGTTAAAAGCCTTTACTATTCTCCGTAGGAACCAAGTTTGATTCCCAGCACCCACTTTGGGCAGCTCAAAGCTGCCTATAACCCAGCTCCAAGGGATTCAAGACCTGTCTCTGGCCTCCATGGACACCCACACAGATGTAGCTTGCATTCATGCATGCATGCATGCACGCACGTACTTGCACACACAAATATAGATAAAAACTTTATAAATTTTAAAATAATTTTCTCCTCAAGTAAATAGTCCTTGTGTTAATCTAATGGCAAAGATGCATATGAGGAGACAGACCAAAATAAAGTCTCCATCCATTCTGTGTGTAGAGTCACCCTATGTTATTTGACCCCCATAATAAACCTATGTTTACATGGTCTAGTGTTTTAAGGGGAGGATCAAACTATTACAGAAAGTAAAGATTTACCAAAAAGCATCCATTATGTTTAAACTGAAGGGATAGACTCCATTATATCTCAGAATAGAGCTGGTCGAATGGTCCAATGCTATAATCCTAACACTTGGGAGGTAGAGACGGGAAGATCAGGAATTCAGAGCCTTTATAATAAGGTATTGTAGTAAGCAAGAATGTGGAAATACTGAAGGTTATTCTTAACTAGCTTTGGTTTATTAAGTTTTTAAATGGTTATATCTATTGCTCTGCGATGGAGTTTTCTTGCCTTTATAGTGGGGAACTTCTTCCAGCCTGCCTTCCATTCACTCAACATGTACTTAGGTTAAGCACTGGCTCGGTGGTATTGTGATTTCTGACACAACTGTTGCCTTTGCGGAAGATCCTGTCCAGTGAGGAAGCCAGACACGATTCAGCCACACACATGTAATTGTGTCATGGAGGGGAATTCTGTGTATTCTTGTTCTGGATGTGGTCTGCTCCATGATAAATGATTCTGGGATGACCCAGTAACAATATGTAATTTTTAGTCACGAAGATATAGAATAATTTCTTAATAATTTTATCACAGACCAGGCTACTTTATCAGTGAAGCTTTCTCACATTGAGTTGGGATTGTTGGAGTTTATGCGGTGCACATTTTCATGATTGCATCTTAGGTATCTACCTAGGTTCTGCTGTGGAATAGCTCATGTTTTTTAAAAAATAGGCTAGCAGAACAAAAGTACTGGCTTGCTTTGCACTAAACAAACATTACACTAAATATAAAACATTTTTGTTTCTGTATAAAATTCAAACTCTTTATTACAATAAAGGACAAGCAAAACCCAAAAAGCAGTAAAGGTCAAATTAATGGTGGCTGTTAACAGGTGGATTTTGCTAAGACTAACCTCAAGTGTTTAGACACTACTGTGGCTCTGAGCGAGTGGGCCTGGCTCTGTTGTATGGTACTTGTGCCATGGGGTGGCTGCCCTCTTCCGCTCACACTGATCTACGGAGCCCTACTCTTAGACACTGTGTCCTCACTTGCACACATACTTAGATGCTATATGCACCTCTTTTCTCATCCATCTGTGGCAGTTAAAACATGACTTAGCATTCTTTATCGAAGTTTCATGACATTAGTTTCGCACTAGTCAGTGGTCTCAACAACAAAATACAGATCTTATTGTAATTTACCACTGTGAGAGGGAAGTTTCATATTTTTCACCAAAGAAGTCAAAGCTTTAAATGCGCGTTGTCATCATCACATAGGACAAATCAGCCTGGATAGCCAATGAGCTTTGATTTTCTCTTGGCTACAGTGCTCACAGAACCAAGGCTAAGTGCCATTCTGAAGATTTTTTTTTGAGACAGGTTTTTACTGTGTATCCCTGACGAATCTGGAACTATATAGATCAAGTTGGCCTCAAACACAGAGATCCACCTGCCTTCCAAGTGTTGGAATTAAAGGCATGAACTACCACCACCCCTGCTTGCCATCTGGAAGATTTTAAACATACTTGTGTTCCTAGCTTGAAGCTTATCAAGATGAAAGCTTTTGTGGAAAATGCAGTCTGCCTAAATCCATCTAAGGATCCTCAGAGGCAGGGTTTCTGACTTGAGAAGTAATAGGGAAGATGCTGGACTATAGACCTAACTACAGCTGTACAAGGCATGGCCAGATCCCCCAACCATTACTGAACCTCCAAGTCTGCTCTTTCTTGTTTGATTGGGGAGACTTTGAACCTCTAGGTTCTGTGGGCAGGAAGTGTTGGGTAACTGGCTCTAGGGGGTCCTCTTGTTTCTCGGTTACTGAGTGAGTTTTTGCTGTTTCTCATAGCAGATTCTGACTCCCAGCACAGCCATGAAGTTATGCCTCTCCTCTACCCCCTCTTTGTCTACCTCCACCTCAACCTGGTCCAGAGTGGCCCCAAGAGCACAGTGGAAAGCTTCTATAGCCGCTTCCATGGAATGTTCCTACAGAATGCAAGTCAGAAGGACATCATTGAGCAGCTGCAAACCACACAGACCATCCAGGACATTCTGTCAAACTTCCAGCTTCGTGCATTCCTGGACAACAAGTACGTGGTCCGTCTCCAGGAAGATAGCTACAACTACCTTATCCGCTACCTCCAAAGCGATAACAACACTGCCCTGTGCAAGGTGCTTGCCGTGCACATTCACCTGGACGTTCAGCCTGCCAAGAGGACAGACTATCAGCTCTATGCCAGTGGTGGCTCCTCCCGAAGTGAGAGCAGCGGCTTGGAGCCACCAGATGTGCCCAATCCAATTCTGCAGAATGAGGCTGCCCTGGAAGTCTTGCAGGAGAGTATCAAGCGGGTCAAGGATGGACCTCCCTCCCTCACCACCATCTGCTTCTATGCCTTCTATAACACAGAGCAGCTGCTGAATACTGCAGAGATCTCCTCTGATAGCAAACTTCTGGCTGCTGGCTTTGACAACTCCTGCATAAAGCTCTGGAGCTTGCGCTCCAAAAAGCTGAAATCAGAGCCCCACCATGTGGACACATCTCGTATCCGTCTAGCTTGTGACACTCTGGAGGAGGAGGTAGGGATGCCACTTATTCTTTCTTGTATCTCCTTCCTATTAGAGTGCTCTTGACCTGTCCCACCAAACAGTACTCTGTAGTCCCCTGCTAGGCAGCCAAAGCTGGACTAATACCAAATGATATAGCCATTGAGTCCCGCTCATGCCTGATAAAAGCACGTTAAAGCCCTTCTCCCAACTCTCAGCATTATTTATGAGTGGACAGTGTTTACTGCTGTCTGAAAAGCAGGAGGCACCATTGAGCCTAACAGATCTTAAGCTGATAATGACTTAGGGGTCACATTACATGTCTGTTGTTGTGTGCACTCAAATGTGCACTGTGCAGGTTCAAATAGTGAGAAACAGGATTGCTAGTTAGGGGTCTACATTTAAACAGTAGTGACTGTTGTCTTCCCCTGCAGAAACCTAGGCTATTTCACAGCCTTGTCCAACATGAAGTACACTGGTGAGGCTAGCACCTGTCCTAGCTCTGTGTGCCAAGAGTGGTCTCAGCCCCACTTTGAAAAGGGACATGGGTTGTAGAACTAGTGTCTCCTCAATCAGTGCAGCAACCTGTTGTCAGGTGGAGTGGCTATTCTGGGATGGCCATGAAAGGTGCAAGCACAGTGGCCTAAGTTCCGGTCACCAGTCACTACTGTTAAAAACTTGGGCTGAGAGAGACAGTCTTGGTGATCAGCTTCTCTTGAGCCCCCAAATGCTTTTGCATTTCTAATTTGAAGTGTCTGCAGTAGCCTTTTTGAGTAATTTCAGACATTCACCAGTGCTTAACTCCCTCAAGTTTCATACACATTGGAAGCAATTATTTTGCTTTGACTTCGTAGTTTTCTAGTAGAAGAAACAATGCCTAATAAAAAGGTTTTTTTTCCTATGCAGAAACCAGTAAAGCTGAGTGTTAGAGAGTCTTGATTGTCTTCCAGTGTTCAAACCCCTTGTAGTGAAGAATCACAGCTATAGTGGTCAGGAGCTTCCCTGTGAGGGAGTGGAGGAGAAATGGTTTATACACAGGCTGCAGCCTTTTGGGAAAGGGCTGTGGGAGCGAGCACACTTTATCTCCAAGTACTACTGTGGACATGTCTTTATTTCCATGGGAAAAAAAAATATTTCCAAAGTGACATGAATCACTTGGCTCTGTCTTAAGCCTCCCCCCTCCTCACTCTCAATCTCCGTAGCCCAGGCTGTCCTCAAACCTAGAAATCTGCCTGCCTCTGCCTCCTGAGTGCTGGAATCAAAGGTGCGCACCACCACGCCTTACTGTCATCCTCAGTCTGTGAAGTTCCTTACTGCAGGAGACATGTTTGAGACGCTCCAGCTTCCTGTCCTTTCCTTTGTTTTGTCCCACCCCCAAACCTCACCCCAACAAAGTCTCTGTAATATCAAAATCTTGATGGTGGTCCTAAGTACTGGCGTTGCAGACGTAAGTCACCATATCCAGCTTTTACCTATCAATGTTCATGGTCTCTTGGTAGCTGTATACTCTGGTTTAAAGTTCCTATGCAATTAGGTTTTATTTTGGCTGAAGCCCTTCAGATTCTTCTAAAGTAGGCTCTCATTTTGTCTCAGCTGGTCTTTGAACTCAGGATCAGTACTGTGATGACAGATTTATACTACCAGGCTTATCTCTAGATTTCATTAAATGGAATAGAAACGGAAAGAGCTCTTTAAGGAGAATCTAAGAATTTAATATCAATTCAGAAGTCCGTCTTTTCAAAAGATATCTATCAGAATTAGTAATGGATGTCCTATAGGCTTGCCTTTCAGTCAGATGCTCACTCAAAAAGTATTTATCTTCAATCCGATGTGGCCTGTGGTTGGGCATTGTAAGTGGCCATGAAGGGCATGCCCTCTGACAGGTACTGCTTCCAGCCAGGCCCTGTTCTCTCCTTTTCCTCTCTTGGGCTTAAATTCCTTGTGAGACCACTGAATATTTTCTTGTGTGTTTTACCACCCCACCCACCTTGTTCCAGGAGAATGAGGAAGATAATGCAGGCACAGAAATGAAGATCCTTCGGGGACACTGTGGCCCAGTATACAGCACTCGGTTCCTTGCAGACAGCTCAGGGCTGCTCTCTTGTTCTGAAGATATGTCCATCAGGTACTGGGACCTGGGGAGCTTCACCAACACTGTGCTGTATCAGGGACATGCCTACCCTGTGTGGGACGTGGACATCAGCCCCTACAGCCTGTATTTTGCCAGTGGGTCCCATGACCGTACCGCCAGGCTGTGGTCTTTTGATCGGACGTACCCGCTGAGGATATATGCAGGACACCTGGCTGATGTGGACTGTGTCAAATTCCACCCCAACTCAAACTACTTGGCTACAGGTTCCACTGATAAAACTGTCCGGCTCTGGAGTGCCCAACAGGGGAACTCAGTGCGGCTCTTCACAGGTCACCGAGGTCCCGTGCTTTCCCTTGCCTTTTCTCCCAACGGTAAGTACTTGGCATCTGCTGGTGAGGACCAGCGGTTAAAGCTGTGGGACTTGGCCTCTGGGACGCTTTTTAAAGAACTGAGAGGCCACACAGACAGTATCACCAGTCTGGCCTTTAGCCCAGACAGCGGTCTGGTTGCCTCTGCCTCCATGGACAACTCTGTGCGTGTCTGGGACATCAGAAGCACGTGCTGTAACACACCTGCTGATGGCTCTTCGGGTGAGCTCGTGGGCGTGTACACTGGACAGATGAGCAACGTCCTGAGTGTACAGTTCATGGCCTGCAACCTCCTCCTGGTGACTGGAATCACACAAGAAAATCAAGAACATTAAGTTTTTATTCAGGTGGCAGACTGGGTGGGGCTGGAAGACTGGTCGTAGTCCAGGACTTGCTAAAACTGAATCAGTGATTGCAAAAGAGCCCTCCCCTACCCCACACTCACCCAACACAGCCCTGGTGCACTAGACTCCAGTTGTGAACCGGATGCTCAGACTTGAGGCCTCCTGGCTCTATGCAGGCACCTTGCTTTTGCATCTGTCTCTCCCCAGTAGGGTTACTGGACAGTTGCAGAACTCCCCTGCAGCAGCTGTAGACAGTGTCTCCTGTGGCTACCCCTCGAGGGAAGTGGGGACAGGAACTAGGAAAAGAAGGGATGATCTAGCAGTCTTTCTTTTCCATAATGATAGAACCAGGATTTTTATTATTATTATAATTAATAATTATTATTGAGAAGAGGAAACCTAGCACTGGCAGAGATGAATCTGCTTTTATCTGCAGGTTTGACTCCTGGCACTGGCTATGATACTTGGAATTTTGAGGTTCAGGGAATTCAGACTTTGGTAGCCCAGTGTATCAGGAGAAGGGGCACCATATAATGTGCTTCTGCAAGCAGGCAGGTCGCTTAACTGAACAGTGGGCTCTTGGAGTGATGGTGGGGAAGAAAGATTGTTTTATTGGCTGCACTCTGTCAGGACTTCTCTACCTGGAAAGAAAGACTGTGGTGGGCAGAGGGTGCACCTCGGCACCTGAGCCAGTTGTCCACAGTTCCATCCTAGCACCATCAACAAAATTATGATCAAGACTAATTTTGAATAAGTCACAAGATAGACTTAAGAAAGCTGGATTTCCAGATGACTGTTTATTCTGAGAGGTGGCTTTTTGGTGTCTTTTTCTCCCTCAATGATCTGCTTCCACCCCTCACTGCAGTACCAGTATAGTGAACACAGGAATGAATCATGAGTGCACACTCACGAGTATCAAACCATGCTCTAAGGACAAAGGAAGTTCTGATGTGTGGAAAAGGATTTAATATTTCTGTTTTCTGGAAAGAGTTATTTTGTATTTTGTTTTCTATTAAAATGTATTTAGTTTCAAAAAAAAAAAAGAAGTGTGGCATCTCATTTATACGCTAGTCCTGGAAGGGTGTCTCTTATCTTTTTCAGAGTAGTGGCCAGAGCATAGGCCAAATCAGCCACAAAGCAGGCATGGTGGTCTATTCTTCTATTCTGTTCAATTTAGTTTTCATCATGTTCTTCCTGGTCTCCAGTTGAATTATCTACAGCAGTAATACATCCAATGTTGCTGGCTGCTAGCAAGAGATGAATATCTTTTTAGGAGGGTCCCACTTTAGCTTCCTTGGGAAAAAAAATCCCATTGTAGCTGAACATGTTGATACACGCCTTTTAATCCCAACACTTGGGAGGCAGATAAAAGTGGATCTCTGAAATTGAGGCCAGCCTGGTCTACATTACATAGTCTGTTCCAGGGTAACCAAGGGTGTACATGGTGTGTGACACTGTTTCAAAAGAAAAAAGAGAAAAGAAATAAAGAGAGAAAAAGAAATCCCATTGTAAACTATAAGAGGTCTAAAAGCTAGATTAATAATAAATTGTTGGACTGGGCAATGGTAGCACATGCCTTTAATCCCAGCATTCAGGAGGCAGATGTGGGAGGATCTCTGAGTTCCAGGTCAACCTGGTCTATAGAGCAAATTCCAGGACAGCCAGGGCAGTTGCACAGAGAAACCCTGTTTAAAAACAAAAATAAGTTGTCAGACAATTCCAAGATGATGGGTATGGTGGCCTATAATCCCAGCACTTGGGAAGATCAGGAATTTGAGACTAACCTGGACTACATAAGATCCTGTCTTTAAAACAAACAAACAACAAGCCAAGACAAAAAACAAAAACAACAACAACAAAAAATAACAAAGAATAAGTAGTCCTAAAGGTAAAATATATTGACTTTAATTCTTTATCGGTAAAGTATTAAAGGTTCAGAATTTAGAGGTGTTTGCTTGGAGTTAATGTATCTTTTTAGTCTACTAAAGAAAAAAGAGTTCTGTTTATGCCAAGAGATGGTCTGAATTGAAGTCCTCACCTATGCTAGGAAAACCATACAGATAAGTTGAAATGGAAGGCTTGAGTTTATTTTCAGTTTTCAGGAAAATGTCGTATACTTTGAAATATGATATAGCAAGCACACCTAAAACTGTGTGCATCAATCCTAAAGGTACACACCTGTAATCCCAGTATTTGAGAGACAGAGGAAAGAGGATCACTGTAAGAGGCCAGCTGGGTACCCAGCAAGACCTTTTCTCAAAAAATAAAAATCAGGGAAAATAAAAATAAATAAAACCAGGAACTATTCAATGTTTTAAGGATGCCATGATTCTGTGTTTCTTATGTTTATCCTCATGTTTATCTTGGTTGCTTAAGACGTCTACTGAATGTAGACTAACAATTTTGCCTTTTCTCTGATTGGTCTTTTAATACATGTGGATTAAAAGGATGATCTATACTTCAGCCTGTTCCATAGTGGCATGTTTTGGTGAAATGCTCATTTTCTACTCCAACCCACACCAACATTTCTGTCACTGATACCTGTAAAAAAGGAAAAGTGCCATCATGGGATTTTCTTGTTTTGTAGTACTTAAGGTTTGAACCCAGAGTCTTGTTAATGCTAGTCCCACCCTACCCTCATTAGGAAAGGTTACAGGCATTCCTTGTCAACTTGAGTCACTGAAGGGCATTTAGGCGATTACAAGTATGTGTTTCTCTTTGGTCCAGAATTTGTGTTAGAAGGTGGTATGCTGTGGTAAGCAAAATTAATACTGTCTCTAACCCAGAGACTGTTGGCAACAAATAACATCAGTAGTAGGATTTCAATCTGTCAGTGCAATACAAGATGCTATGAAGGAGGTTGGGGTCTAATTTAGGTTAAGAATTTGCTGAAGCCCTCTTAGAGCCAGGCCAGGTAGTACAAGCATATAATCCCAGATGTATAGGAGGTCGAGGCAGGAAGAGCAAAAGCTTAAGACCAGATTGGGCAGCCTTAGTGAGACCCTCTGTTAAAAAAAAGTAAGAGGGGTTGGAGAGATAGCTCAGAGGTTACGAGCATCTCCTCTTGCAGAGGACCTGGTTCAGGTTCGCATCACCCACATAGTAGCCCATAGCCCACCTGGTTGCAGCCATCCTGAACTCTAGTTCCAAGGGATCTGATGCCCTCTTCTGACCTCTGTGAGCACAGTGATGAAAAGATGCCCTAACCGTAAGCTGAAATGGTTTTAAAACAAGGAGATTCCCACTATACACCCATCAAACAGACAGTAGGGGGCCTTGCCTCTCCCTGTGTCGGGTAGCTGTTTCCTTCAGAGTGGAACATCCCTTCTTGGAAGAAGGAAGGCGTTCTCATGATCCTCTCTGAGGTTATAAGCAGTAAACAGTTACAAAGGGAGAGGAGTGGTATAGCTGTCTACAAGTTGTATATAGAACTCCAGGGGTGGTAGCTTTAAGTCCTCTCCCGGCCGGGTGTGGTGGAGCACACCATTAATCCCAACACTCAGTGGGCAAAGGCAGGCAGATCTCTTGAGTTTGAGGCCATCCTGGTCTACATAGTTCCAGGATAACCAGGGCTACACAGAGAAACCCTGTCTCAAACGGAAAAGAAAGGAAAGCCACACTGTACTGAGGTGGGGTTTTGGATGTGGCAGCTGCCCAAGTCACCCCAAGAAAACCTGTTCATCAAGCTGGACTTGAATAATTTCTTCTGGGCTGGCATTGTTCTCTTTTTAGGGGTGAATAGAAATAGACTGAGGAAGGCACACCACACCCAGAAACACTGGGCCTTCATTAAACATTCTTAAAGCATGGTTAAAGTCATTATTAGCTTGAATTAGTGTTAAAATCCTTAAGTTCTAATTTTAAACACTCCCGATGTTCATTTTCCTGTCAATGAGATGTTGGTGTTAGGAAAATCTGACTTCCTTATTGACAGCTGTTGGACTCTCTTGCCACCCTAGCTACCTTCAGCAAAAGGATTGTCAGTCAAACAGCCAGCAAGACTGTCCTTATGCCAACACTGCTGTTTTGAACACACTGTGCATGCTTTGAAGAAACCACACACAACTACAGCTATTTCTTTGGCTCCTGAAGGTATAACACAATCCAGGACTGTTTCAACTGGACTCTTTGCTGTAATAAGCGTCACTGAATTCTAGGTAGTCCTGCAGCTTTTCCATCTAGGTCAGAGTGGAGAGCACTCTCTCTGGTAGTAGAGACCGCTGTTTTGGGTATAAAAGAGTGTTATGACTGGCACGGATAAAAATATTTGCACACACAGTTTACTGTGATTGGTACAAACATCCCTTTACTCTATAAGCATTTAAGCAGCCTGTTAGCTCACTTGGTGAGTTGGCTGGGAGGCCCTCCCATGCTGCTTTTCTTAGTATTGCCCAGTGGATCCTAATGTTTCTCTTGAGTGGTCTTGGTACTTTCAGTGTAGCTGCAGAAGCAATGGAGTGATGTGCTGTATTGACAGCTGAAGAAGAGGCAGAGCTGAGCTTTCTGTGTCCAACGTAAGAGTTGCAGAGCAGCTGGTTGCATTGACAGCTGCCAAAGAGGCAGAGCTTCAAAACCAGCCATTGACAAAGGTGGAAAGAGCAGCAGCAGCAGCAAAAGAACGACGGTTGCTGCCTCCTGAACAGTAGCAACTGTGACAGAAGGCAGAACAAGAGGCAGTTGAGCAGCTCTAAAGAGTGGCCAGGGCCAGGAGCAAGAAGGACGGTGGAGTTGGGCATGGTGGTACAAGCCTATAGTCCCAGCAGCACAGAAGGCTGAGGCAAGAAGATTGCCCCAAGTTCAAAACCAGTCTAAAATAAAACAAACTGGAGAGATGGCTCAGTGGTTAAGAGCTCTGGCTGCTCTTCCAGAGGATCCAGGTTTAATTCCTAGCACCCACATGGCAGCTCACAACTGTCTGTAACTCCAATTCCAGGGTTCTGACATTTTTCTGGCCTCCCTGGGCACCTGCATGCATGTGGTACAGACATACATTCAGGCAAAACACCCGTCCGCATCAGTTAAAAATAAATCCTTTTTCTTTTAAGTAGACGTTAAAAAAAAAAATAGAGTTGTCGAAAGATTCCATTCTTCAAATGTTAGTTGAGCATCTTGCCTCATTCCTGTAGTGCCAGCACTTAGAAAGCTGATGCGGGGGTTGGGTGGGGGATAGCCACAAGTTTGAGGCCAGCCTGAGCTACATAGTGAGATTCTGTCTCAACAACCAAAAGGGAAAAAAGGACAGATGTCGAGACAGAGCAGAGCTGAGATTAAAGAAGAATAGAAGGCAGTGAAGAGCCCAGAGAGGAGAAAATCTAGTTGCCATAGAGTTTTAGAGAGCTGTCAAGGCTTTAGGGCCAAGGGTCTCCAACATTCCGGACCCGGGAGCTCTAACGCGCTACTATTTAGTGCTGAGGAAGCCCATTCATAAGCTGTAACACCAGGGTAGCCTACACAAGATCCTGCAAGATCCTGTAACACTGTTACGGTCTACACGAAGCATAACACAAGAGGGCGCCATATGCCTGCAGTTTACCTTCACCAGCTGCCATTGCTCTTTGCTGGCAACGTTAAAGTAAGGGACAAAAAAAAGGACTGAAGTACCTACCTAAGAATTCAAGTTTGTAGCCAGTCTGGAAAGCAGTATGGTGTCACCAAGAAAAACACAGCCCATATACCTTATGGTGTTGAGTGAAAACAAAAAAGAATTCCTGAATGGTGAGTCTATTCATACAGAGTTCAGAATCAGCACTGCATCAGTTACTTTTTCCATTGCTGTTAAAATACCTTATTTTTCATACTAAAGATATTTGCCATGCTTTCTCCATTTGTATAGACCCCGCCTAACTAGAAGGTAGGTAGAGAACTTTTCCAGGAATCCAAATGATCATAGACCTCAAAGGAGTCCATTCAGAAAATATTAGATAAAACCCTTATTCAGCTATAGCTTCTGAAGAGGCTGGAGTAGAACAGGAAGAGCAAATCCAGGGTGGCCAGGTCATGTAGGGCTGGGCTGGGGTTGACCACATGGGTTTAGATCATGATTGCACTTGAGCAAACTATGTGGACATCTTTGAATGTTTCCATATCTGTAGTACAGATCTGCTAAGCTGTTACCAGATGTTGTGATGGCAGGACTTAGGTTATATTAAATGTCGGAATGGCTGGCCCTTGATGCCTTCAGAAAATGGCATTGATGCCTCTCCTTGGGCTTCCATTCTCTTTCATGTGAGTTACAAAATGTAAGCTCTTGTTTCAAAAGCCTGTCTGAGTTGTGTTAAGCATCTCTGACTATCTCTGGCTTTAAGATCACTACCAGTGGGCATCTGATTGTAGCTCTTCCTTTGTTCTAGCATGTAGGAGCATACTTTCCTGACTTAGCAGCATAAATTGTTCTCTGCATTACTGAGTGAGATAGCGGTCTTTCCCAACCTGGTGACTGATAGTCAGCTAGTGCCTCCTTACAGAACACACCATTGCCAGGCTTCCCTGACAGAACCTGATCTCACAGTTCTGGAGGCTATAGGTCCAAGGCCAACAAGTCTAGACTGGCTTCTCCTGAACCTGGTTTTGTAGATACCAGGGGGCATAATTTATCCCTGACCAAGATGCGCTCACTTGCGCCCTCCCCCGTGTGTGTGTGTGCGCGTAGTGGGGTTGAACTCAGGTCCTTACACATACTAGGCAAGCACTCTCTACAAGCTACATCCCTAGCCGTTTATTTACTTATTTAAAGTTTGAAATATGGTCATACTAAATTTCCCAGGGTGTATTGCCCTTGTAAGGCCTTGAATTTGTGATCCTTCTGCATCGGCTTCCTGGGGAATCACAGGCATTTATTTCCCACCAAATGGCACAAAGGCTCTTTAATAACCATGTCTGTGCCTTAAAAAGATCTCAGCAAAGCTTTATGTAGCTTGTGATGCATGATGCCACAGGGAGGCTATTGAAGTAGAATAAGGTTTTTTTTTAGACCAATTTTTTTTTTTTGTTTGTTTGTTTTGAGACAAGGTTTCTCTGTGTAGCCCTGCCTGTCCTAAAACTTCCTCTGTAGACCAGGCTAGCCTCAAACTCAGATCCACCTACCTTTGTCTCTGGAGTTCTGGGATTAAAGGTGTGTGCCACCATGCCCCAAAAGATCAATTATTAGATACTACTTCATTGATTTATTTGGTGATTTACGTAAAGCACTGCTGGTTCTGCTTACTTGCCAAGTTTGACTTCACTTGCTTCCTGGAACAGAATGACCTGGAGACATGGCTGAAACAGTGGGTCAGTGCCCTGAACAACCCGCTGATTGCCTTGTAGGCTTCTGTAAAATCTTGCTTTTCTGTCTGCCCCACTTGAACCACTTTGTGGTTTTAGAGCAGTGGTTCTCAACATGTGGGCCACAGCCCCTTTAGGGTCACATATCAGATACCCTGCATATCAGATATTTGCATTACACTTCATAACAACAGCAAAAT